CCTTTCCTTTCCTTTCCTTCCTCTTGTATGCTTTCGTTGATTCCTTTTTGTTGTTGATTGTGATGTCCTTGTGCTTTGTGTATATCCTTTTGCACTTTATTGGTCTGTCTCCGATTTACAAACGTGACCCGCAGGATTATAAGCTGTACCATGCTACTACGTCAACACCTTTAAAGAAATGAAGAGCCCTCCTCGAACTACGTTAAAGCATGACTTGTTTCTAGACTGTCCGCTCATCGTGGTCTTGGTGAAAGTTCATTGCCTTGAAAGGTGACCTTCACTGCAGTACAAAAGGTTTCCTCAAAAGTGAGAGCTTGCGATTAACGAAATGCTTACAAAAACCAGAGAGGTCTGTCAGAAGCAAGCAATCATTGGCTTGGGCCTTGCGAAAGAAGGTGGTCGGCGCAAAGAACTCCAGCAGCCAAGGACCGACCAGGCCGCGCGCCCAGCCGTATATGATGTCACGGGTGACAGTTGGAATCTAAGAACGGCACACACAAAGTTGAACACAGTCAAACTCATTATTCACACAAAAGGAAACTAGTTTCGCTCAAATCCAATGACTGTTTAATGTACTTGATGTATTTGAGAGCCTGGCGTATGCCTGGTAGAGGAGTGCAGGTTTGATCTCCCAGCCCATGCTCTTGCGGAACCGGTAGTTGGTGACCTGAGGCGCACTCTGCACCAATTTATTCTTGCGCGCAATCTGTTGGCATCTTCATTTTCATCCTTTGGACTCGCAAGTAGCTGATTCTTCGGGAATTCAAACTGTTTTGCGTCTGTGCTTCCGTGGTGTCTTTGCTATGACCCTGGCCGGCAACATAATGGTGCAAAACAGCCAACCACTCACAAGGCCGCCTCGGATAGGGTCACCAGGGCGCCAATTCCCTAATGGTTATCTATATGCGTAATATAACAAACAAAACACGTTGCACAATACGAAATTGCAATTTGCGGTAGTCTGATACATGTTTGTCTTCCAGGATGAACACAAAGCCAGCAAAACTGTTGCAAGTCTAGGCCACTAAGTCCTGCAGACAAAGTGGTGAATGTCATCGCTCGGTTAATGACTTCAAAGACCGGGAACTTCAACCTCTGAGGCACGGGCTGCACATGTCCGAACCAAAAAATGCAACAAAAAATTCAAAACACAATTTGCCCTATATACCTCAAACGTGTTTGATTGTGGCAGTTGCACAAACAAAATTCGGGGACCTGACCCGTACACAAGGTTCAAGACTTTGCAACAGCCTTTCCAAAAAGTCACGATGGAAAATTAACCCAGCTTGGCAATTCAACAGCAGGAACAACTCAATTGACTGGAATTTTTCGACCCCACTGAAAAATGCAACCCCAATCAGTTTGCAAGTTGTAAAGAGAACTGGGGAGCAGGAACTGGGGAACAAAAACGGGAGCAGGAATTGAACTGGGGTCCGGAGCAGGTAGGAGGAAAGCGCATAAGAACAAAACGTCCAAAGACATGTTCGTAGGTACGTACAAACGCCTGCCGCACCATTGGTCCTACTAAGGCGAAGAAAGAAGAATGAATTGTGACAGGAACAGAAAGCACACCGCAAGTGCAATAGCACGGAACATCCTGCGATGATCGCAACTGCCTGTTGCCTTGCTACGCAAAAAGACATCGTGTTTTTGCAACGGGGCCAATTGTTTGCCGGTGCACAAACACCCGGCTAAGTACACGCGCATACCTTTGGCATTGCTGTAATTGTATGGTGCGCAGAAAGGCTGCTTCGCAACTAGGGCAGGAGGCACACCGCAAGCACAAAAAGGGTTGCCGTCGCAGCATGTCCTGCTAGGTAATGCAAACATAGGATTAATAATCCTCCCCTAGTTCATCCGAGCCCACAAAGTGTCCGAAAATTACCCAAATTGAAAGTATTATTGGTGGCTGGTTTCCCCCCCAATTGTCTAGTTGGGCACCAGAAACCCCCCCAGTTAATCCGAGCCTACACAATCCCAAAAAATTTTAGCTCTGTTTTATCAATGGATACTAGTGGAGGTTTATTAACCAACTCATCAACTCTCAACTCATGCTGCTGATTCAGCTGCTGCTCGTTCAACAACTCTCACCTCATCATCAAGGAGGTCTGAGTCTTTGCTCATGGCTTGCCCATCTGATACTTACGCTCCCTCCTCATCCAGTATGCAAGGCACTTAGCCTCATCACACTTCAAGCAGCCTGATTGAAATCTGCGTGAGGAGCAAATGCCTACACCTCTAGCCACAATCTTAGCTCTTGCCTCACGGTAGTCATGAGGGAGCTCATTAATCTGGATGGCTTTCTTCTCGTCCACGCATGCTACTGCTTCCTGCATCAGGGAAGTCAGCTCCTCATTCTTTTTCATCCTGGACTTTGCCAGCTGATGCTGCTTATGCATCTGATCAAGGTTCTTCTTGCCAAGCTGAATCAATTTCTCATTGGCAAGCTCAAGATCTTCCCTGATCTTGGGAACCTCACTGGCCAGCTGCTTGCTGATTTTCTCCAATCCTTAGATTGCAAGCAAATCAATCCCATTCGAAAAGACGGAAAGTCCACAGCTTGCGCAACAAAAAGCAAAGCTGAGACACTGGATTGCCATGAAAAGGCCATTTTGAAAGGAAATCCAGCTGATGCAGGGCCATAGCCAATGTGGTTGCTCATCTCACTCTCCATGAAGCTCAACACAAAATGGCCACACATGTTGCTAGTGGCAGGCTGCCTCACTTTCTCATTCTCTCTCCTTCAATGGTGGCCCATTGAGCAGGTCCTCATCAATGCATTCACAAGCCAGCATCTTGCCCAAGACCTCCTCAGCCATCGAGACACAGCTCTGCTGCATGTTCTCAATCTCATGCTGAGTGCCAATCTCTGTCTCATCAGAGCCCCTCAGACTGTCATAGTACCTGACTTTCTTCCTGAACATATCCACCACTAGCAGGGTCCAGTGATTATACCTGCCATCAGAGGCATCCATAAATCATTGTTTGTGCTTCTAATCCTCCAGGGGGGCACTTGTTACCAAGCACTAAAACTGGATCCCATGACCCTTGCTCATCTGCATCTTCTCCAATGGTTCCAGCCTCAATCAGAATCTCTTTCTTACGCGGCCTGCTCAGAGTCATTTGTGGCCAGTCCCATTTCTTCTTGGCCTCATGGTCTTCAATCTTTTGCAAATACTCACGCCTGATCCACGTGAGCTTGGCTGGCACAGATTTGTTGACCTCGTCAAGCAGGACTTGCCACTCATGGTTCCCAGTGGCCATGACAGTGCTTTGTCGACCAAAAAGGCTCATGCCTGCCATGTCTCACCACGCGAAACTCTCCAGGCTCATCTGTCCCTGGTGGTGCCTCCATTGGTGGTGGCAATGGGGGAGCATCTGCTCGTGTTTTAGCCTCATCTTGTTTCTTCTTCTTTTTGGCCAATGCCACAGCTGCGTGCCTTGTCTCATCCTTTGTCCTATTCTTGCTGGCCAACTTTTGCTTTGTCAAGACATTTTTCTTGCTCTTCTTTTTTGGCCAATGCTTTAGACGCAGGCGTCACAGTCCTGCTGCTAGGCACAATCTGCTGCATGGACTCACGCCTGCTCTTGCTTTGCAAGGTGGCTCTGATTTCTTGTCTCTCATCATCATCAAATTTCTTCTTTGCCTGGTTCCTCAGCTTTTTCTGATTTCTCTTCTCTCTCATCTTCTCCCTTTTTTGCTGGGCTTCTGAGTTCACGCCTGCCTCTCTCTTAGCAAGCTGTCTTCTCAAGTCCAACGAGAGCTGGAAGTGGCCAGCCTGCGCCCATTCTGGTTGGTGTACCTCATCCAGCTCCATCACCCCTGCCTCATCAGCAGCATTCCAATTGGTGTAGCTCCACTCGATGAGGTCTGCAAGCTCTTTTGCTCCTTCCATTCTATCCCATATTGGCTCAGCAACCTCATTCCCACCATTCTTGATCCATGCCACGCGACTTTTCAACCAGTCTTGGCTTATTCTGGTGCTTCCAATGGGCATCCCCTTGCACCATGCCCCCTTCTGCTCATGATGGTACTTCAGAGATCCATCCTTCAGAGGTCTCATCACAAGCATTCCATTGTGCCTCAACCCTGCAAGGACCCAGTTCTTCCTCTCATTGCTTTGAATCATGTGCTCCATTTCCTCATCTATCACAGGAGCCACATCATTGATGCTCATTTTGTATTGGTCTGATGGCACTGCTTCATCTCTTCTCATCTTCTCCGCTCCTTGTTTCATCTTCATGTCTACAGCTGATCGCGCTTGGTCATCTTGGCCATGACACTGCATGGAACCTGGTGGCTCATGAATTGAAACCTCCTCACATCTGCTCGAAACGCAGCTCCGAAACACAGGCTCATTGGATACTTGTTGGCCTGATCTCTTATCTGCCAAGCCATCAGAACACTGTCCATGTTTGAGCTTGGCTGGTGCGTCCTCATCTGGCCCATGTACACAAAGGGTTCTGTCTCATTCCACTCATCATCCTTAGAAATGTTATCTAAGGATGCATGGGGGCCAGGCGCAATGACCACTCCTGGCAAGACATGACCAATGGTCTCAGAGGGCTCATCACCCAAGAGGCTGAACCATCCTGTCACAAGCTGATGTGCCTCAAATGTGATCCTATACTATACTTTTTATCCACATTGACCTCCCTCATGGTGGTGAGGTGGGCCTTCCCTCCATCAGGCGCTGATGGCTCATGGAAAATCATCCCAGCATCTCCATCATGCTCCTTGATCTGCTGGTCTGTTGGCTGAGCTCTGACCATCTCATCTTGCACAGGCCATGCAGCTTTCTCTGTTGCATCCTTGCTCAGCTGCTCACTGATGGCTTGCCTATGCACTGACACCTTCTTTGCTGATGACCTCAGCTCAAACCCAGCAAGCTCTGTTTGATGGCTTCTTCACCCATAGTGGGATCTGAGTCTGAAAAGCCCAGCACACATTGATGCACATGCTTCTTTGCCTTCTCTGGCTGCACAAACAGCTCATTGTACAGATCATCCTTCTTGCTGCTGCTGATCTGCCAAGCTTGGAAATCAAACTGATTCCATGTCAACTCAGCTCTCACCTGCTGCTCCACCTCACTGAGCTGTGTCACTAAATTGGGTGACTGCACTTTGGCACCCATCCAGCTCATCAGGTGTTTGGCTCTCTTGTCCTGATTCTTAGGCTTCTCAAGGCTCATCTTCTGCTTCTTGCCTCTATATATTCTGTCTTTCAGTAGTCTTTGTTGCTGTGCATTCTCTTCCTCATGCATCCTGCTTTCTAATCTTGCAATTTCCTCTGCCAGAAAACGTTTATATTTCCAGCTGACATGCCTTGGCAAAACTGTATGCCCATGGCTCCTCTCAGCCTCAAGCCAAGCTTTTGTCTTCTCATACAGCTCAGGAAACTCAAGCTTTGCTCCAGCTCCTGATGCCCTCACCCTTTCACTCTTAGCTTTCTCTTGCCCATGCACCCCATGTGCACCTGTTCTCTGTGACCTTTCATCCATGCTGGAGCTTTGCTTATGCTTCTTCATATCTTCTGCCCATTGCTTTCTCCTGCCGGCCTGGACATCCTACCCACAAGATGTGGAGAAAAGAGAGCAAAGTTCTTTGCACTCAATGCAAAGCGCACACTTTGCCCACCGGCCATGGCTTCGAAGCTAGCAAAGCGCTGCTTAGGCGGTGCGGACAGGGCAATGGCAGTCAGCAGACGCTGCCGCAATGCTTTCGGCCCAAGGAGGCCTAACTCGCCAGAAGCAAACCAGAAAAGGAGCGAAGAAAAAAAAGACAAAGCTCGTTAGCCAGCAACAATTGCTGCCCCCAACCCCCAATCTCAATCGCTGAATACTCCTTGAGCCGACTGTGTGGAAATCCAGTACTTTCAGAGGCATACAGTAGTCCGTTCAGTAAGTATTTACATTGTCATACATTGTCTCTGTTAGAGTCACTTATGGACGTTGAGTCAGGTCATCACGTTGTGGAAGTCACACTGTTGGTTTGCAGCCGAGCAGCATGTTCGTCGGAAACGTGGTCAAGAAAAACCCAGCCACCAAGGATAAAGTCATCTCATTCCACGCCTGCGCAACAAGGCAAATGCTTTGAACTCTCTAAGCTGGCAGACACGCTTACTCTTGCCGACCCAGAGAAGCATCAACAACATATTGATATGGTAAAGTCTAGTGTACTAAAGAAGTGTCCTCGCTCGGAGGGACAAGGTGATGATGGACAGCAAAAGCTTGTAGTTTGTTGTGCAGAGAAGCTTTCAATGTGTGTGTGTGATGTGTGAAAGCCAAGAACACCCACCTGTCCCACCGTCATTCGCTTCACCAGAAGTCGGTTGACCTGAAGGATATCAAATAAACAATCGCTTCTGTAGTGTTAGACGTTACACTTGGCCAAACCGGCTTCAATCTAACAAGCCCATCTTCGAGACATCAATACAGTCTAGCAGCTAGGCTATCAAAGTCAAATCTTCCCGTGCTCAAGCTACCCATCCAAAATGTTCATCCAAGTGTCAAGAGGTTCACACATTGCAGAGAGAATCGCTGCTATGAACGCTGCCTTGGATTCAACAGACTTTGGGCTGGGGGAAACCTGGAACAAACAAAGTGAGTCTAGTCTAGCCAAGAGCCTACCTAAACATGATTCAAAAAAAATAAATATATGATCAACCACGACAATCGCCTTGAAACTCAGCTGCAAAAGTATCGTTGGAACACTGAACACCATCCCCAAAGGTATCACTAGCTGCTAGCTTCTCAGCTCCGGAAGTCTTAGCTGCATAGACCTTCGCTATTTGCAGACAAAATCACTGTGCAGCCCTGTGCTGCAGCTGCAAAGACCTGCTTGAGTGACACGTAGTGACACGAACTCAACTTCAAACTTTGCACCACCCTGACAGTGCACGTGAGCTAGCAGCTAACATGCTTTCAACACCCGCAGAACGGCCCCACACACTGCCACACAGCAAACTCTATACTCTCTGGAGTTCAATTAGAACTTCACACTCTTTAGTGGCACCTTGCTAAAAAAGTTGTCACCGCCATCCTCCTCCTCTGCGACTACGAGGGTTCGTGGAAGTCCACTGGGCACACACCAGAGCTCCCTCAAAGGCAGGCGCTTACTTTGCAATGGACCAACTTCTGCAGCAAGCATGCTAACAAGCAATGCCTGCGAAAGAGCTTGAAACCTTACAGCCTCTCAATTGACAAAAGAACAATGGTTACTGCCATAAATCATTATCTGCAACTCATCAAAAGGATCATCAACATGTGTGGGCTCGTGTGATTGGTATTGCCTTAGAGTTAAGAAATCCAAGCTCTCCCTTGGCTTACATTAGTTTTCCAGCATTGACTCCAAACAACTCAAGACAAGTGCTGAACAAACCCAGCAAAGGACATGAAGGATGGCAAGTCATATTGGACAACAGTCGAAGTAGGAAGAGAAGTGAGGAGACGTGTTTGGAAGTCAGTTGAAAGGCAAAGTCAAAGAAGTGGGGAGACAAAAACCTACTTATCTCGGAATGGGGCCCAAGTTCGGAGAGAAGTTGGGAGAAAGGTGGGAGACGAGGAAGAGTTGTCAAATTCAAGGCCACGTCATATTAGAACAAGAGGCAACTATATAGAGAGACTGCAGGAGGTTTGGGAAAAGAATTTGAAAATGCAAACTGCACTTGCATGTGACAGCCGCAATTAAACACCCACAGTGAATCTCCATTGTGATGTGGCTTGCGCAAACCATCTGCAGGCTGTGTTTGAAGGCTTCAGATGGTTTCTGTCACCCTTCACTATTTTGGAGCATTTGTCGGACAACAGCCAATGGCAAGAACAAGGCAAAACCACAGTAGACCGGCACTATATATGGCAATCTAGGGGAATGATGTAAAACCTTTGAGCCTCAGGTAATGGCACCCAAAAACGAGCAAAAACATTGTGGTTGACTTCTGATGGATACCATTCTGCTCTCATACCCAATCCATTGCAAACAGAGTGGGAAGCAACTTGCCAGGTTCCAAACTAGTTCAGGTATTTACGCGGTATAATCTGAAAAGGAAATATGTGTCCAAAAAAGGCCCCTTTAAAGGGGGCCTGTTGCAAGAGGCCCAAACACCTTCTGTTATATTCCCACTTCTTGCACCAAACTAAACAAATCTACAAGTAAACGTTAATGTCTTAAGAAGTCGGACTGTTTTGATGATGCGAGGGGTTCAAGGAAGATTTTGAGAGGAGAAACATGATTGAACACCTCGAGTTTTTCTGCGTCGCTGCGGGACTTGTAGTTTCATGTCTATTTACTCCTCAAAAGGAAAACACTTTTAATTTGGTGTAAGATGGTGCGCTTTGGATGAAACAACGTGGAAGGTTGGAGAAATTTAAAAGGATTATTCTGGATAAACCTTGGTGTTCGGAATAGCAGCAAAACCTTTTGCGCACCATATGATAAGTAATCAATGATAATGCGTCTGCTTTCCACCATATCAACCTCTATACTGCTGCAGTTCTCTTAATCTCCGTGTATGCGTAACCTTCGGAGTCACAAGGTCTCCTTTGGCATCAAATTTCCTTCAAATTTAACATGCAGCGGGTGCCAGGCAAGTCCGGCGCTAGCAAACACACTCGCATTGGTCTGTGGTATCATCCGCGGGTACAGACGAACCGTGAAATTTGTCAACGGCCCTTCCAATTTGTACTTTCTGGATACCGCAGTCCCTTGTTCCACGGTTCCACGACTCGCCAAGATGGCCTTTGGGCGGCTGCCTCTATTTTTCTGCATGCGCTGTTTGTAACATGCATAAGCTGCTCCGCAATTTGGTTCTGTGGGTTTGCGTGGTGTGTCCCTTGGAAGGGCTGTTGTCAGTGTGAATTTCACATAAATAAAAAAATATATATACTACTGACTAGTAACTTAGGACTTGTCGGACATACGCGCCAATTCCAAAAGCCTATGTCATCAAGATTGATCCAACATTGGCATTTCCTCTTAAGGCCTATGTCATCAGGCCACAACCATGATATTCATAGAAATATGTATGAGGTATTCAAGGAAACAGCGCCTAGTCGCACCCTATGTCACCACTGTGTCACCAGGGTGCCAGGCAGTGGTATCTAGCATTATTTAGCTGTGTTTTTACATTTTTTGTCGAGGAGGTGTCCACAGGTCCTATGACACCAGGTTTCCCAACCCAGACCTTTTTTTTAGCTCGATATGTCAGGGCACATGACTTAGCCCTGGGGGTAGCCAGATTGGTATGTCACTTGCATCACGTTGGCCTAAGTCATTAGACAGTAGTATATATAATGTTCATGGCCAAGCTTCAGCAGGGAAAACACGACCAGGAGAAGCACGGGCACAAGGCCAGTGCGACGGCCTACCTTGAGTCTTGAAGAATCAAGCAAGCAGTGAATGGCAACCAACAGAGTGTTGACGAACTCTATTGGAGGTCCTTCAAAGTCTTCAGTCAGCAACTGAATCTTTTCAGTCAAGGCGCCATTCTCACAGCAGGACTCCGCTTGCCCGCAGCAATGTGCTGCGTTTGAGCCCAACACAGCTGGCAGGAGAAGGACTGCCTTCTGTCTCAACACAACTCAAGAAATGACGTTCTAGTTTCAAACACGGCAAAAGGTCTGAAACAAAACGAACACGCTCCTATTCTGTTAAGCAAGTTGAGACATATGCTTCCCTCTGTCTTGAGTTGCCTTTACTATTGCTTGGTATTTTGCTTCAATAAAAAAGGAACACATCAAGTTTTTCTCTAATGCTTGCTCAAAAAGGGACACACTGACCATGATACAATCTACATTTGGAAATTCAACGTTCGATTCAGGCAGCTATCTTGATTTTTCAAGCGCAAGACCGAAGTATGAAGAGCTCATTCCTAGTCCTAGTGTGAAAATACAACGGTCTGTCGCACGCCTTGGGCCGTGAGATGCCAAAGGCGCAAACACTCGACATGAAGGGTTGGAAAAACGTCCAGAACTCAGCCTCAGGTTCATCAGTTGCGCCTTACTGGGCGCACACGGATTTCCAAATCTAGAAGCAGAACTTACTAACTTACCCATGCTATCCTGGGTTGAAAGACATGCAAACAAGCACCTTGCTTAATGTATATCATTCCAGCAAAGTGAGGACCCCACGATTGAATCGGTTGGAGCAGCGCCCCAGACTGCTCACCTGGCCGTGCAAAGCGGGTCACTTGATTGCACAACACACCTTCAACAATTGAAACGTGACTAGCCTCGAAAGGGCTACAATGGCGATCACAAGGACTGCCAAGAGGCCCATAGCAATGGCACTGTGTTCCTTGAGATACCTCCAGGAGCACCATTTTCACTCATTTGCCACCCAGAGAGAATCAACGAACTTTCTGCAGTGCAATGAATCCAAATCAAGCTGCGCAAAAGCATCTTCAGCATAAGGAGTGACCAGCATGCCAATCATCAGTGCCACTCCCATGATGGTAGATCCGATGCCTGTGATTTCTAAACATATCAACTGCATCTACAAGCGTCTGCAGCAAGATGTGCAACTGGGGTTGCAGGTTGCAACCTGAAATCTGCATGATTCGGGCAAGAGTATAATACGGATGAAATCCGAGTATGCAAAAGTTCTTTCATCAGAACGTGCAAGAAAGTGATACCAGCTGGAAACCTTATCTGAATCATTTTTATGTAATTATACTTTATATATACATATGTATATTATTACAATATGTGATAAAACTGATGAGTTTGTTGTTGCTGATGCCTCTTAAAACAATAAAAAAACATATATATATATACATATACATGTGTATGTATTATATATATTTTTATTTATAAATATATAATATATGCACAGGATTAGTGTGCATTCATGCTAGTTATTGTTTGTTGCAAAAACCAGAGCATAATGGCCTGTGGAGCGTGCGTAATTGATTGGCTTGAAGTACTCACTGAAAGGCAGCCTTAAGAGACAAAGCCGAATCGGCCACAATAAACCTTGCCAGCAAGGACTCCCTTCACAGAATGTAATGACCACCACGCACATGCCCCTCTGGACTGACCACTCACCTGACCCAACTAGCAACTTTGCCAAGCAACTTCTTCTCCTTCGGCTGCAGGGTAAAGCCGCGCCACTCGTTGCATGGAGAGGAGATGATGCCTGGCAAGAAAGCAACCAACGCAAGTTGCCGGAATCTCTATTCAAACATCTCTGAAGCTTCCAAACGCTCTTTTGTGCAACTCAGCTGCAGGATGCCCAAATTGTGAGGCCAAACACCATGGCCTCCAAGTCAAACTAGTTTCTAATTACAGCCTTCTGCCCATCATGTTCTTTCTGCTTCTCCGTCTTTCTGTCCGGCCGGGCTATCAAAAAAGATCAAATATATATCAAAAAAAATTATATCCTATCAAAAAGAAAATTAAATAGTATCAAAAGCAAAATTTCTTTTAGCTGCGCCTGCCACTGCGAACAGCCTTGGCAGCGCTGCGCGATGTGAATCTGGATGTGCAGATTTCGTGGCATGCGCGGCACTTTGAGCATCTTCAGTAGGAGATTTCGTGGCAGGCGCAGCACTTTGCGCACTGGAAGTGCAGATTTCGTGTCAGGCACGGCACTTTGAGCACCTCCAGTAGCAGGTTTCGTGGCATGAGCGGCACTTTGCGCGCTGGAACTGCGGTTTTCCTGGCAGGCGCAGCACTTTGAGCGCCTTCAGTTGCAAAGCTCGTGGCACGCACAGTACTTTGCGCACTGGAACTGCAGGTTTCATGGCAGGCGCAGCACTTCGTGAGCCTCGAAGTGCATATTGCGTGGCAGGCGCGGCGCTGGGTGAACCTCGAAGTGCAGATTGCGTGGCAGGCACGGCGCTGGGTGAACCTTTGTCTATAAGCGCAGACTTCGTGGTAGGCGCAGCGATTGCGAACCTCGAAGTGCAAATTGCGTGGCGTGCGCAAAATTTCTATGGATCTCAAGACCTGTGAAAAGAGCTCTTGATATCTCTGGATCTGAACATCTTTCTACACCCTCTGCAAGTCTAGACCCCTAGAACTTAGATTTCAAGACCTGCCTGGATCTCAAGACTCAAGACCTCTAAACCTCCATCTTTAGATCTGTGGGTTTCTAGACCTCTACACCTGCAGATCCGTCTGGATCTCCAGGCCTTCGGATTTTTGTAGATCTAAACCTCTCTGCATCTCAACCGTGATCTCTCTGAATTTCAGACCTCTGGGTTTCTGTAGATGGATCTCAACCACAAGACCTGTGGATGGCTCACAAGAGGCCTGCAATGTTGGAATGGCACCTTCCTCCTCCAAAGTTTATGCTGACAACAGGTCTGCTCTTGTGAATTTTGCCCTCGCATGGCTCACAAAAGGTCTACTGCTCCTCTAAACTTTGCTCACAAAAGGTCTGCTACCTTGGCGTGGCACCTTAAGTTTATAACAAATTCTACTCGGTTTGCTCACAAAACAAAGGCCTGCTACGTTGGAATGGAAACTTCTTCCTCCAAATTTTAACCTTGCAAGGCTAAC